CGATACAAAAATTTTTGTAAAACACTTTGTTCGAAAGCAGCACCATTATCCCTTTGTCATTGGACCATCTGCGCCTGTTTCGCCTTTTACGCCTGGTAAGCCTGGCACACCCTTTTCTCCTACCTCACCTTGCTTGCCTTGCGCACCTGTAGCTCCCTTCTCACCTTTTAGGCCAGTTTCACCTGTCAATCCTGTACTGCCTTTGTCACCTGGTGGACCCGGTTCGCCTCCATATTCTGTCTCACCTCGTGGGCCTGGTAGACCTTGAGCTCCCTTATCACCTGCTGGGCCTGCTTCACCTGGAGCTCCTCTAGCACCTTGTGGGCCTATATCACCTTTCAGGCCCGCTGCTCCAACTAACCCTGCTATTCCTTGCTCACCTTCAGGACCTACTTCACCTTTTGCACCGGGTGGACCCGGAGGACCTTGCTGACCTGGAGCACCTTGTAGCCCTGTTGCTCCACTTGCACCCCGCTCTCCTTTCAAACCAAGTACACTTTGTGAATCCTCAGTAGATGATGTACTGCAAGCCTGAAAATTGAATTAGCTGACAGAAGTTACAGAAACAGAGTATAGCGACTGCACATCCAAAGCAATGATTGAATTATGAAAGAAACAAAAGTTAGCATACTTACTTGCAGCCAAGAAATAGTGCAACTGAGCAGAACAAAAATGCCCAAATAACGCATTTGAGTTGAGTGGAGTGAAGATGGTCTAAAAGGAATTTTTATGCATTTAAAATTGGAAAAGTTTTCATATAGTTCTTGCTTGCATGTAGAAAGAAGCATCGTGCAAACAAAATATACATTCAGCAAAGATTTGCTGTGTTGCACTGACCTCTGCGCATACAAAATATTCATAGTTTATGCAAGAATGACTAATGCTCTAGTGATGCACAAGCAAGCATCCCTGAGATATGGTATAACGGATTGAGAATATGGGGGAATTTAAAACCTGATGCAAGTTAAAACAATTGCCTGTACCATACCTGATATGAGGATGATAATTAGTTGTATCAAAATGAAACTCGAAATGAATCCTGCGTATTTATAGTGTGAATGAGGATATCTAATTCAAATCTCCTAGGATTTGTTAACACGAAGGAACTATTTCATTTCAGTAGATTCAGTTAAGAAAGCACCCAATAGCCAGTTATCTATTGATCCATCAACTTATCTATATGACAATATCAACAGATGCTAAACCCATCTTTTTAAAATATTGAAAGAGAGATCAGGTTATTAGATAACAGATTAGTAGATCCTACAAAACTTTCATTCAAGAGGCGAACAAGTTTCAGTTAATAACGGAAATAGATGCGATAAAAACTTTCAGAAGTCCGAGCACATTTTAGACATTGAAATAATCTCTCTCTTGCAAATTCAGTTATATGCCTGTTTAACGATGGCTTGGTGATTACTAAGCAAATACAAGAAATAAACATGCAGTTACGCATTAATGTTAAAAATGAAAGTCATAAGTTGAATGAATGACTTATTTAAATCTGATAAACTTTGTAAAGCCAAGAGTTCTGGAGAATGTCTTCTGCATTATTCATATATTGCATCTTACTGACTTGACTTATCTCTGTTAGAGCAATCATAATCGTGTTTTAATCAGCAAGAATTATAGGAATAAAGAACTAACTTTGATGTTGATAATTATTTTATTTGTGCTCTATGCATTAATATGTCACAAGGTACAGAATATTTCATTCTTATTAAATTGTAAATAAAATTCAGGCAGAAAATTATGTAATTTCAAAAGAAGTATTTATGTTTCACTTTGGACTATTTCATTTCTTGCTGACTAATTTTAAAATGCTAGAGTCCAGCTGATGTAGTACCGATTGTAATGAGAATATCCCACGGATTTTTGATGAAGTCACACAATTTTCGTCATCGCTTTATTTATGCCTTACTTTAAAAAAAGTTATATCTTTGGAGTAGCATGAATGAACAAATGGATATTAGCAATGAAGAACAAGTAAGGTTGTGTAGAAGTACGTTTGGTGAAACTACTTCATAGCTTTGTCTTTGAAAAACCACGTCTAATCTGCATCACATATCCATATATCATTTGTATCTGTTTTTTATTGAAATCGGCAACAAATACAATTCCACTGCTAAAATCTGGGCTTTCTTGATAATGTTCAGAAAAAATTTAGCAACACTATAAATCAAAAAATAGACTGTGTTATTTCAGGCAAAATACTACTACCATAACAGTGATCAAGGACAACTAAATTATTCATGAATATAAGTTCGGTTATTTTCAGTATTAATTAATTTTCAAGTGGAATGTTGAAGAACTAATCATTTATTCAATATATCAAAGCAGAATTAGCTCAAAAACGTATTAAACCAGTGCAGGTCACTAGTTTATTACGTTTTAAACTAGTGACCTACATGAGTAAACTGAACTAGTTTTTTATATTAATTAGATAATTTTTATGGGCTTTGATGCCATATCAACACTAGTGACACAACTATAGGTAGCATATAAATAGTCCTGATTCATATAAAACTATTAATGATGCATAATATTCGAAGTCACAAATATGATTTACAACCATAATTGTAATAAGATATACTGTAAGCCAAAAGCGAAAACCTATTCATGCACAATAGCTCATTGCAGTGATCCTGTCAATATTAGTTACTAAACTGTGCTGCAAAATACAGAAATCCCTTCATAATACTGATTTGAAGCACATTAACTTCATGCTTATACTTAATTTAGATTTTTTGTATCTGAAAACACAAATCAAAATTCAGCGCTGTCCAGTAATTACTGAAATTTTGCTTTCACTGGTAAAAAAAGGTACAAAATGTAAATTCAGTGTCATTACCATTTACAATGTTAATTTGCCTTCTGTACGATTTTGAGCATACAAAGAAAACATAATCAAGATTCCACTACATTCTACAGTAAAAACAATAATGTTTGTTACAATCGTATAACGTTCTGTTTTAGCACGTCATTACTTTAGATTTAATCACATTAACTAAACAAAATTTACTAGTTTTACTAATTCTCAGGGAAGATTTCACTAGAAATTCTACGGCTGCATGAAATCTTTCGCAATTTACTTCCATAACTGAATGGTCAGACAACGTCTATACATAGTATACACCAGGTTGGCAGAACAGTGCACGCTTTTGCCAATAGCAGTTGTAAGTGACAGACCGCTTATAAGAGCAGTAAATCTTTACCACTATATCATATTTGGCTTACCAGGGGCTAAGTGTTATTTGATAGTTTTGATTGTTTTGTGTATGGGAATTTGATGTTAATTACAGTACAGGAGTATCGAAACTGGAAGACTAGTTACTTTTGTCAGTCTAGGTTGATAAATTAAGTTTTAAATTATTTTTTGTGAATAAGAAACAGAATACATTATTGCTATTTGCAAACGACAATTTCATTCAGCTTCAGCTACTAAATCTCTAGCATTCAAGATCTGGCTTTTTTTAAATAACGTTCAGAAAAGTTGGGTGGCCAATAGTTCTTTTTTTTCTTCCTCTTTTATTTGTAGAATTGTCTGTAATGTTCTATGAATAAATATTCAAAATTAAGAAAGAAGAAAAAAAGGATTTATTTTGTTTTTGTAAAGGTTTAGGATGACATATTCAAGATTACTATTTCACATTGTTCTTTCAGCAAAGAATAAACAGAAAAGGTGTGATTTATCTAATTCAATACCATGTCTACAAAATTCATAGCGTTCGATTCCAGTGTAGATGACATAGTAATTGCTGTATCAGATGTAAATGCAAATTCTTCTACAGGTAACACTTCATGGAATTTGAAAATTATAGTATTTTCTCTAAAATTTGGAGAACTTTGAATATTTTTTTCTCGAGGTAAAAAATGCTCGAAATGCAATCGCTTTTTTTGAATAGGGTTCAGTATGAGTTAAAATATTGTCAGTATTTGTCTACCCTCTGGTAGACAAATACTGACAATATTTTAACTCATACTGAACCTGATGTAATTTTAAATAGAATTGAAATTTAAATTGCAAATGAAAGATATTTGGTATTGATTAGATATTTTTTTCACTTACTCCCTGTTAAAACTTAATGTAATAGCATTAATACGCTTGTCGTGAATCCTGTTTCACATTTTTAGCAGTTTTTTGTTGTTATGTATAACATAACTTTATAAGCATGTTATTTGTCTGTGTTCCCTTTTACAATGCAAATTATGAATCTGTGGACATCGACGTTTTTTTGATCTAGATAATATGCTATTTGGTGATTTGAATAGAGCAATTTCGATTAAACAAGCGAACCTAACGAGTTCAAATCATCCAGCAATGCGATTAATTATTTATGAGTCGCACGGTAAGGATCTTTGCTTTATTAAAAATTTGACTAAGTTCATCTTCTTATTTCATGATAGATGAAGATTCGGATTATTTTTAGCCGTATTTTGTCGTGCTCAGCAGAGTGCTCAACTTACAAAACTTGCGGTATCCGAGTAAGTTTCCACGTATTTTATGTATATAAACTTTGGCTTATGAAATAAACATGAAGTTGTTATGTCATTAAAAGAGCATATTATGGTGTTTTCGAAAACAAAAAGTATTGCGTAGTTTCCATGATAGGTTTTTCAATTTTCATATATAAGAAGATTTTTGGTGAAAAACTGAAGTTTCAGCATATTATCATATAGCTTAAAATACCGTTCTATTATTCGATCGGCGCTTTCAATGCTCCATAAGTCAGATTATGGAATGAAAGAAGCACTCACAGCAGCTGAACTCATTTGGTCACTTTTAGAAGCCATATTCATCAAAACTCATGGTATATTTGAGTGCATACTTGATAACCTAACTTGTTCATTTAAAATATAAAGAAATGATTTCCAAGTATTTTTAGAAGAGATTTTCGTAATCTAGAAAAGGCTTTTTAAATTCATTTTGTCTTTTTGTATAGAGCACTGAAGCCCAAAAATTTTTTAGGATTTATTCTCTTCAGTTTCTAATATCGCCTCTCTTACTTCGCTTAGATGTTTAAGATTCTTCGATTGTAACGGATTTAATGGCTTGGGCTCGTTTATACTTAGCTCATACTCCATATGTTTATGAAATTTCGAAGTTTCTTACTAAAAACAAAGTGAAACAGCTGAACGGGCAACATTTTTGGCTTCAAGTGATTTTTCACTGTTTAACTTTCTTGTATTAATGATATTCATATCAATAGTTACAAATAAAATTCCAACTTAAAAGCTGTTCTTTTATTTGATGGGGAATACTGAAACCCACGTTTCTGTCTATTTTCATGATCATCAGCTATTTCCAGATTAAGATTATTCAGAATCCTTGATCTGCTTCCTATTATTTTTCACTTTCCATCTTTAAGTTTCTGATTTCAGATAATATACTTTGTACTGAGTGGTAATTTCAACAATGCTGCGTCATTTTTGCAAACATACGGCAATCTAACTAAAGATGATGCTGTGCATTGCTTAGCCCAGATTATTCAAGAAATTGATATAGATTTATTGGACCATGAAAGTACTGTTGTAGACTTTATAAATTTTCAGAAGGTACTTCCTTCAAGCAGTATTTTACTATTTTCGGAATCATGAAATATTACTACGAAAATTTTCAATATTTACATTCCCTTGTCCAAACCAAAAATTTTGCTTTTAATTATCGATTTTTTATTGCTTAAAAACTATTGGAATAGTTTGCGAATAGTTTTTTTTACTTTCCATGAATTTTAGAGACTACAAGAAAAATGTGTGAATGGTGTTTTTGAAACTAACCCAGAAGCTGAGAAAGTAGCATTATTGATTGCTGGTGATATTCCAACCATCATGCAGATTGCTCCAGAACTCGACAATTGGTTTGAATTAGTACCAGCGTACTTGCTTTTTGTTCATCCACGTGCTACACTTCTTCAAATTAAAGAAGCTGTTGAGGTTGGAGGAAAATTCTCTTTATAGAAAATTTTCTGAGTGTTGCTTTTTTCGTGACTAGAAAAGGCTAATAAGCTGTTGAACGTGCTCGCTAGCCATGAATTTTTTTTCCCTAGCGCATCACTAAATTTTTCATGTGAAGGACTTTTTGATTATATTAGCACTTTTTGTCATGTCGAACTTTGTAGAATATATTTTAGTTGAGAACGGATTAAGTAAAAAATATTTGTTTGCTGTGTTGTCAAATATTTTTGTCGATATCACTCTTCTGTGCAAAATTGCATTTCCTTGCAGGACTGCACTAAAATTTTTGGTGTCAGCAAATATGATGGGGTCGATGCTGTAATTTTTGAATTACTCTCATTAGACGCTTTACGAGCTCTGCATCAAATTTCACAGTTGAGTTTCAATTGGTGGTTTCCAGCCCATTTAGCTGATTTGCTTCAAAAAGCTGATGAACGAATAACAAGTGCTTGTGGTATGAACATACGACAACATTTGGTAATCGAATATGGATCATCACTTTTTAATAATTTTGGGTCAGACATTGTTTTTTATCTTGTCATGAAATTTGGGTGCCCTGTTTTGATAATTTTGACTTAATTCACGGACTCTAGGTAGGATATACAATAGTCCAAAAGCACCAGACTTCCTATTAAGTATCCTCATGAAAAATTTTTTTGTGTTTTCAACCGTTTCGTATCTGCTGCATGGAGTTTAGCAGCAGTGTTTTTCTAATTTGAAATTCAGTTCTATTTTGTAACTTCTGTATTCGTCAATAAAAGTCAAGTGAAAGCATGATAGAAATATTATATTTTAGATTTCTACAAAAATATTCCGTAATTTGATGTATTTGGGAATCACTGTTGCCTTATTTTAAAGTGCTGACTACTTTGGAATTGGATAGAGAACAAATAAGAATCATTAATTACAGATTGTGGCAAGTAGGCTGTGATTATCTCCGAGAAGCCGGTGAAGAGGGGTTGCGGTATTTAGAATTGTTGATAGCAAGAGTTCCATTTTATAATGAAAGTGTTGCAATAAAATTATATTCACTATGTGACGAAGTAGGTTTTGATCAAATTCGGCAAGACATTGCACGATGCATGGCATACAGGTAAATATCATATTTTCAATTTTACTTTTTTATTTCTTGAGGCATATTTCTGTTGCCTTCAGTATGTCATTGGTATAAAGTGCAACTCTTAAGTTACTTTATATTTTCAGATTTTTGCGTAAAAAATGGTGGAGTGCTGCCTTGTCTTGGTCAATACGTTCACGTGATATTGAGATCGTTTCCTCAGTTGCAGATCAAGTTATATCGCTATGTCCACCTCACGAGTTTTCATCAATCGTTGTTATTGAACATTTTACTGAAGTTGAGCTCATTTCATCATCATTTGTCTTCTTGCATCGTTACTGTGAACTTCGGCAAATATTAGAATCAAATGAGAAATGTAAAGCTGTTAATTTACTGGTATGTTATTATGCTTTTACGTTTTCGAATCAAATAAATAGAGTAATGAGGAATTGAGTAATTTGCAATTGCTTGTATTTACTGGTTTTGGTGTCATTCGAGTCGGTCATAGACTGTAAAGATTGTTGAAAGATGCGACGTTTTCTTTCTTGACTTTATTTGGTGGGATTTTAAATTGGTGGCGTTTTTCTTGATTTAACATATTTTTTCGATTATAGGTCGAGCTGATGTTATCTGATTTTGTGCCGCTGAAATTTCATAGCTTACTTTTCTCGAATCTCATCGATATCCTCAGTGATGAAAATGAGGTATTGTTTCCGAAATATACCAGAAGCATTAAAAAATTTTGTTTCAAAAAATAAAGCAAATTTTGTAATGATCAGGTTAATATTTCTGAACATTTTATTTGAACTATTTCTTGGTCTTTATTATTTAGATAGCTTCAAAACCATTAACTGTTGGAAATATCGCAAAGGAAAATGGTACTTGTATGATGTGTGTGCTCAAGAACATTACAGAGATAAGTATAATAGTTGTGAACTTTATTGCTATTTTCAGGCTATTTTGAATAGAAATGATACAGAACAATTACTGGGGCGTCTGATACAACATGAAGCATGTAGTCCATTTGAACGAGATTCTAATTTTTGGAAAACTCGTTTACGCACACTTCGTTTCCTGTTGCTTCAAAATTTGGCACGGACGATAATTTCGTGATTGTTCTTCATATTCAACTCGTTAGATCTCATCTAATTGAAATTTTATTTTTTTGAATTTGTTTTTATTACTTTATGATTTCCATTATATTTAGTTGTCATAAAATCTGAGCGAAAAAAGTTTTGTTACAAATATTAAGGATAGAGCGCATTGATGTGTTGTGAACATACTTGGAACAATCGTTGATTGACTGATATGTTAGTCGTATTCTACTGGTTTAAAGTGCTGGTGTTTTATATTTAAAGTAGCCATCATAACTCATTCAATAAGGCATAGAAAAGGGAGATATATCTTGCATCTCATCAATCTGCACCATACAGTGTAGGTATTGTTTCATCCGTTTTTTCATTATCAACAGTAAAATGTCGTCAATCTTATATTTTCGTACTTGTCGTTTCGTCACAGTGGTATGTGGTAGTCGATATTGAGGAATTTAATGTTATCCTTTTATTAGCAAATCTATTCTTGTAAAATGTGCCTCCTTTGTTCAATGGAAATGGTGATAATCGAGGAAAAAAGTTAATGGAGGTAGTGAGTGGGCCCTCACTCTAATTACGGCTTTTAATAATAGTATTTGCTATTATTTCCAAATAGTTGCTACTATTTGTATCGTATATGTGTGTAGAAAGTTTTGCCAATATATAACTGGTACTACGTGGCAATGATGTATGTATAGGAAATAGGGAAGTAATCATAACAGTAATTGAGTGCTGTCATAACAGTAACTGACACTGCATGTTTTGTGGAAGAGCAAACGATATTGTGGGTGCTCTTGTGTGCAAGATGCATGCAGTCGAGAGGAAGAAATATGCTTCAGTGTGCTGAAATTAGTCACATAGGTCTAATTTTACTTCACAAAGACTAGAAGTTGTTCTGCAATTGGATGTTATAGTTTCATTATGACCAACTACAGGCTAATGTTGAACTATTAATGACACGAGTGAACTTGAGAGTCCATTTCTGTCCAGAATAAATCGTAATTTCTGGTTGTGCTTTGATATATTCTTGTTTTCTGTGTTCATATTTTTATTTTTATTTCAGTCTTCAGTTCTCATATGCTTTTCTTTCCTTTCGTGCTATAATCTCCATTACACGCTGCACTCTACAATCTCCCTTCTCTGTAACATGCTCTTGTATTAAATCTTATTATTCATCACAATATATTGTCCCTTACGGAACTGCAACCTGTGTTATTACCATTGATCTCTGTCTCTCTTCATTTGTATAATGTTCTTTTCGAATTTATTGTATGAAATCGTGGGTGTAAATGAATGTCTCTTTTTTATCTGTCTGTTGGTCATTACAGACGTTTCAGTTTGTTTTAATTCTTGAAGTTCTTTTTAATGAACCGTTTGCGATTGTGGTAAATTTTCCTCCTCATATTTGTTGCTCGTTTATTATTTTTTCTATATTGTATTGTTTATATTTGAGATACATTTGCGTTTGCAATGTGTCTAGTTTAGATTAATAATTAGATTCTATTTGCTATGCCTCGAGGCAGCTCATTATCTAGAATATCACAGAAGTCTTATTTACCGCCTGCATCGGTAGTACCATCAATCAGTAGCCGATTAGACCATTTATCATTGGGTATAATTGGTGTAGATAGTCGACCAGCTGTGATCATCGATGTTGGTACGGCGTTAACCAAGTTTGTTTTTGTCTTTAGATTTAATTATTTTGAATAATGTTTATCACTCAGCTACTAACAGTCAGCACGTCATGTTGCTACCAAGATAAGATAATTTAAAATTTTACTCAGCAACAAGTTCTTCGTCCCACCATTGCTGCTTAAAATTCTTTCATTTTTGTTGCTCGAAAAATATTCCATATTATTTTCACATTCATCCATTTCTCAGCTCAAATTCTTTTTTTAAGGTCAGATAGGTCGAGTTAAAATAGTTATTTAATACTGTGTTTTTCAGAATCGGTTATGCAGGAGAATTTGTTCCACGTGCGATATTGAGAACAGAATTATTGCATGATTGTACTGGTGAATCTATAAAAGTATTAGATAACACTCTTGATGAACGGGATTTCTACCGTAGACTGGCGAAGTTTTTTCGAGAATTATTTCTGAAGTAAATAAAATTTACTCCCATATTAACTTTACTTTTAGTAATTACGTGGCAGAAAGGTGTGAGCATGTCAGAGGTGGTTTTTTTTGCACTTAAAAATCATTGAGTCTTCACTAGTCCACTACGTAGTAGTTACTATGCATTGTGTTTATTGATGATTTTTCGATTCGCATTAACCACAACCAAAGATCGTCGAGTCGTCATTGTCGAAAGTATTTTGGCTAGAACACCATATCGTAACTTGGTAGCACGGGTGTTGTTCGAAAATTTTGATGCTCCATCGATACTTTTCGCCCCTTCCCATCTACTGGCAACCTTTCCATTTGGAGTGTCAAGTGCTCTTGTTATTGATGTTGGATATTCAAATGCGACTGTCGTTCCGGTATTTGTTACTACTTCTCTGATCTCTGCGAATTTCTAAACCATTTCATAAATTACGGTATCATAGACTCATAAATACTTAGTAGCAGTTATTTTCTTGTGCTACAACAGATGATGTCAGCTTTTAAAAGTAGAAACCATAATAATACCTTTGTTTTGTTTATGGATACTGTAGGTTACTTTTTTTTGGTTTTTTTTTTGCTTAATATTTTTTTGACAGTGTGGTATTTAATTCCTGGAATTTTTAGATCTTAGATGGTGTGACAATGGTGTTTCAGTTGGAAACCTCGTGTGTTGGTGCAAAATATCTTGAAGAACGTGTCCATGAGTTGTTGCGAAAGTAATGTTTTTGTAGTTCATTCGAAAACATAATTACGTTTGCAGTACATTAATGTTATCAGTATAATTTAGCTATGCAAAAAAAAAGCTCAGGAGGAGGGAGATCTACTGAGAAGTAGATGATTCATCAATGCATACTCTATATATGTTATGTGTTGAATTTTACTCCTAACTTTCACTCATAATTATACTCTTTTATTAGCGTGATAAACTTCCAAGAGTAATCTTATATATTTTGAGATTTATATAAGAGTTACTAGGTTCTGCAGAATTTTTTCAGATACGGGAAGATATTGACGAAGTTGGGTATGGAACGGCCACTAATTGATAGCGATGACTTATTATTGAAAAAAGAACGAATCTTAGAAGATATCGTAGTTAGGTTTTGTTTTGCTACTAAAATGGATCGCGGAAGATTGATGCAATCTGCTGGTAAATTTTAACTAACTTTGTGTGCTGTGAGTTAATATCTTTAAGACTGTTTCACGTGTCTATGCAATTTTATAAGGACGGAGAAGAATTGCCGTTGGTAGTATCTGTGTGGTAAGTTGACTTACAAAAAGTTAAAAACCAGGGTATTCTTGATTGCGTATATTGATTGTGTAAGCGTACGTACCAGGGCACAAGAGTATCAAATATAAATTTCAGAATATCACGGGGAAAGTGAGTTATTAGCAGCACCCTGTGACGTACGCTTACCATTCGGCGATGAAGTGCTCATAGTTCCAGGTATTGTTAGGTAAGGTCTATAATTAGTCTTTAGATGCACGCATATTTATGTTGTATAAAAATCTACTTTTATATTATCACATTTTATTGACTGTAGAGAATGGACAGCAGAAGTCATTTTCGAAGAAAACAGTGACTTCAAATCGTTACCACAACTAGTTCTTGATTGTGTATATCGGGTTAGCAAGTTTTTACTTTGCTTGTTTCTTGAATATATTTTATGTTATGGTTTTTTACGTCGTTTGATGAATAATGCCGTCATGTTTTTCACATTTATGTGAACAATACTGCTAGTTAGTAACATTACGTTAATCTTTGTTCTATATTTTGTACGATAATGATCTTACTCTCGAGCACTCATCTAGGAAAAACCATTTATTGAACGTGTTGGCATGCGAACGTAAACATGAAATACAATGTGAGAAATCACCCTTTCAGTGTCCAATTGACACGAGAAAAAAGTTGTTAGAGAGTATGTTACTGACTGGTGGTACAACTCGCATGCAAGGGTTCTATGCAAGACTGCAAAATGAAATACTCCGTTTAGTTACAACATCTGATTATGCCAACAAATTGGGGCATATTGGATCTGTGAAATTTTACCGTTTACCGAAATCTTCAGTTGAGTTGTATGGAAGTTGGATTGGAGGTATGAAAAAATTTTTTATCTTACCAGTTTTCATTGTTTTAGATGTAGCAAATGGCACTGTTACAATCAAAGCAGCACCCATGAACAAAATAGGGATTAAATCCCTTCGATTTATCAATAAGTTTTGGAGTAGAAAAAGCTGTTACAAGATTAGGATTCAGGATGTGTACGAAATTGCCATGAATCACTTTCATATTATTAATAGAATGTTTTTGTTATTAGGGGTCGGAAAAGATTTGGCAACTGCTAGTATTAAAGATAGTGTGAGGTATTATGTAAATTAGAGTGATATTTGTTCTCACATATTTCAAGAAGTAATGAGATTAAATATTTTGTAGGTAGCATGTTTGGAGCTTTAGAAATACTGCAGTATCGTTCTTTGACGCGCGAAAATTGGCAGGCATGTGGTGATGTGCCAGACTGGATTGTTGGCGTTCATGAGATAGATCCAAAAATATTTAAAAGCCGATGATTTTTTTATTATCAGTTGCGATCTCGATTTTTGTTATGCATCATGTGGTAATACAAATATTACGTTTATTAGCAGTTGATGAATTTATGAAGAAATTTGTCGATAAATCATGCACTTTGACGCATAAAATGTACTGTAATTACAGAACTTTTATGTCTTTTGAATTGAGTTTTTTGAATTGTATCTATAGTTTTAAATAAATTTGAAGAACAAAGCTATTCAAGAATGGTTGAAATCTTATTTCTGTTGGTTATCATGACCAATATCTGAACAATCATGCCTTTTGTTCCATTTTTCGACGCTATTTCTATAGTTTTTTAGTAGAAGTTAGTTTGAGAGATTGGTAAGAGAGAGATAGTTTGTGATTACTTGACAAACTATGTAACTTGAACTGGCAGGCTAAAACACTTTAGATGTATAAACTGTGTTTAGTGTCAGTGTAAGTGAAAAAAAGATACGTCTTGCAACTCGTTCGGATGTACATGCGCTTCAGAAACAGTATAGGCAGCTATTAAATGTTCGTTTCATCTTTTTTCTTGTACGACATTTTTTTATCGTGTTAGGGCAAATTTTGTGCTTTCATCCATTTCTGTTTACTTTTGACATCCTTTCAAAATACCTGCCACAACGTTCAGAAAAGTTTTTAATTGCTGCGTCAGTCATTTTCACAATACGGCGATAGAGTAGCTTATCTTAGTATTACATGAAGTTATGTTGTGGTTTTTTGGCATGAAAATAATAAGACCGCATTAAAAAATAGAATAATTTGAAGTAAACTAGAAGGCTACAGAATAAACATGGAGCTTCAGAACTGCGTTCATTAGTCAGGTTTTCTGTTGAAATGTCACTGATTTGTGTTTTCAAGTTTTTAATGGTTTTGCAATGTATTGCATTGAATTTTCTTTTCTTTAGTATCAGAATTTGAGATGAGATTAGATATTTTCGTAAGAAAAGTCCTCCCTGATTATTCATGCGCGTTACATCCATTCATCCCCTTGTTTTTAATGTCTTTTTCTCACCTTTAATTTTCAAGGTATCGATTGCAGAGGATTTACAGTGCTTAAACTGGAGTTCATTTACATCCAGACATTCATTTGGTGAACGAATTGTCGAGACTGAGGTAAACTTTGCTTGAGAGGAATTGAAATTACTTCTTGAAAATACGAATAATTCTAATATATGAATAGCAAGATATCCAAGTTAGATGAAGAGAAAATAGCTCTGATTAAAAATTCTTGCAGTCGGTGAACTTCGTAATCGTCTCGGCTAAGTTTAATAATGCCTTCCAGTGCATATTTTTGCCTAAACTATCTAATATCAAGGTTGGTGATTCAAATTTTCTCAGTCATACCTATATTTCATTGTTCGCATTGTCTTCTTTACCATACTTTTTAATGCTGTATTCTGATAAAGTTATTGGAGACATCAGTCCATCTATTATATTGCAAGTTAAAATTTATTAGGATTTTATTAGCAAGTAGCATGGTCTGGTGAGAGCATATCATCCATGTTATATTGTCTTTAATTGGATTTACGAAAAGAAGAGCCAGGTTGCAATGCAAAAGTCTCTCAAAATATCGAGCACTATAGTTTTTCATCACTAAAATTCTTATGCCACGTTTTTACAATAATTTATTGAATACGATAGCTATCTAGTGGTTGTGAAATGGGAATAAATCAGAATTATATCTTTTTTTAATTGCTATAAATTTTGGCTTTTTGTGGAAATCTTTATTATGATTAATCACATCCATTTCTTACTTTTCTTCCACTGATATTTCGTGTTATTATTAGCTTTCAAAAGAAAAACGATCTAGCATCATATTGAATATGTGATGTGCAAGGGGATTTATATAATGATAAAGGAAAAATAAATATATTTTTTTACATGACTTTGCGTTTAGCCTGAAGTGAAAGTAGTTTAGTTTTTGTCATTTAATATTTTTTTTCAGACTCACAGTTTACCAGTTCCGTCATTGAAATGAGTGGCATAAGTTTTTAGTAAATTTCAGATAAAGTATAATAATTTCATAATTATTAGCAAAGATGAATTAAAATCGTCTTCAAAAACAGAGAAGGTGAACTTAGACCAGTGGATGAGACCATGATTGAAATTGCTTTTCTGGGAATTTAGTACGTTGTTGACTGGGCTCTTCAATTACTCGAGGATTTTCCATTTTGCATATTTGGTGAACTAATGCTTATTATTGAGATATTTTTTTATAGAATAAACTGTGGTCTCATTTTTCGAAGTCCTGCTATTCAATATTTATTTATTTAGACATCTCGGAATTTTACGTGAGTTCGTTAGAATATTCATTAATTTTATGGAAGTAGTTTCGGAGCATATCAAACTGATGTTAAATAACTAATTAGCAAAGAGTTTTGTTTTCTGTTTTGTTCTTTTGAGATTGATCAGTATAAAAGTAAAAGTTGAGCCAAGAGTTCCTTTATTTCGACTTCCGTTCGAGCATTCTGGGAATTTATTTTTTTTAATGGGGACTTTTTCCATGTGGTTATTTACATTCATTTTTGATCGCTATCGGACACTTCTCAGTTTGGTAGTTTTTAAGTTGAAGTAATAAAGATTTTGCTTCGTTTCCAATAAATTTAAACAGTGGTATATTAAGTAATATATGAATATTTGGTTTCAAGTTCATTTAAGTCGTTTTTTTCAGTTTTGCGTATGATTAAATCCGTAATTTGAATTGTCGGTTTCAGTATAACCATATTGGCATTTATCTCTACAAAAACTTTTTTATGTAAACAGTTAAAAGTTTTAGTAATGAGTTCTTCTCAGTTTTCGTTCATAAATTGTATTATAGTATTTTACTTTGTTTTCGCAAGATTTGATTCGTTTCGTTGATAACATTCAATATGTGTTATTCTAGAATTAAAGTGGATAATGTGGCGTCAACTGAGCATGAACTATGTGCGTTATTCGCAGATTGCCGCATCGGCTACTCGGAAATGTTTGAAAAGCAGTTCAAAGAACGAAGTAGATAGATCAGGGAAGTCAACGGCTAAAGTCATTGCATGGGAAGATGGCAAGCCGTTAAAGAAAAATTGAATAAATTTTTCAATATTTCCATTTTTTTAACGCAAAGTAGATTAGTTTGTTTTTCATGCCGCTCATATTTTACTTTCAATGCTAGTTAAATTTGTATTTGAACAAACTTAAGGTGCAATTTTGTCCGCGCTTTTGATGTTACTCAGATCTTTAATGTTTTCAGTATGCATACAGCTCGTTAATATCTTGATAATTCAATATTTGGTTCAGTAAAATTGTAGTATGGGTTTGTTTGAAGTTGTCTTGGAATACTTTTGTTTTTAGTTTGGTGATTTATTTGAATAAGACTGCTGTTTGAAATGCTCTAGTTAGTAATTTGGCATGTTTTATGAACATCTGTAAATGCAAATGCGTTTACCCTTCATATCGTTTGGTATTGTTCGTATTTGTTTGCGATCTTTTTAGAAATATAGAGATAAAATTTTAGGATGGGTGATAATTTTCTGAATATACTAACTGATATTACAATGAACTCAGATTTCGATGAAGAAACTTGGCTTTTAGAACCGCCTAAAATACCATCGCATTCGAATGATGTACAGCAATCAGGACGAATTGTAGAATGGTTAGAGGTATGTAAATTGTTTCATTTTTTAGTCCTTTTCAATTTTCATTGGATGGATATTTTGCTATAAATTAGTTCGTTATCGATCAATTTGAATGGTCAATCTTGAATTTTCGAATGCTCACTTATAAGCTTGGTACATATCATGCAGATATTGCTGTGTAATATGTTAAGATGAGCAGTATCACATTTCAGGGCGCAGCAATGAATATTGATTACGAAACAAGAAGTGCGCTCAGTCGTAGATTAACAAGCCTAGCTGCTAGGAAAAGTTAGTGTAATGTTATTAACCAAGAGCATAGCACGCAATATGACACATTTTTCTAAAAATATGTGAGTATATGAAACCGAGTTTTGATTAGTAAAAGTATTAGTAAAAATAAATGTTGCAGTGTAGTAGTTGATTTTAAAAACACTCAGGTGATGTAGAAAATAGTTGGGTATGTTAATTATTCAAATTAAGGTTTGATTAGAAGGCCTCAAAAAAGTTTTATCAATTATTTAGAAAGTTGCATCATATATAATTCATTGGAATTAATCCTGCGGTAAAAAAAATCATTGTCTTGTTCTCTATAAATTAAAAAAAATATTTAACTGAAACTAGTGGAAACTTCCAGTTTATGCACGGAGCTCAGATATCATTTTTAAAATGCTTTTGGCACAAGGTTTTCACCAGCTTTTTGATGTATCTTTTCAATTTCTTCATAACGCGTAATTGTGAAATATTCTTACCATGGGTGTAGTCCGGAAGAGTTCTCTTAATTATTTGCTGGGTACAGCAGCAATTGTATTCACAAAGCACTTGAACAGCTGAGCTATTTCTGATCCTGTTGTGAGCTTTAGAAAGCGTGCTTGCAATTTTGTCAGGAGTGGAATTAACAAATTCCAAATGGGATGTGATGAAAATTCAATGCGTGGGATGTGACTCATATGTTTCGTAGGCTAAATTTTGTACTTAAAACCTATTCTTTACTTAAAGCTATGCATACAAGCGCTGAAAAAAAATCAACAAGAATGTGTTGAGCTGAAATCAGTTTTCACTAATTTCCCAACCATTTAATTAATTGTATGGCTTTCTAGAGTTTGTTCTACTGATCCATCATTTGAATAGCCAACATCTTATAGCTCATAATTAATGAGTTACAAGTAGCAATTTGCGGTCATGAAGACTTTTTGTTTAAGAATTAAAATTTTTCTGCAAAAAGTGAAGGAAATAGAGTTAAATTAGTATTGCATTGGTGTATTATTTATATTCTCTTTTTGCTTGAAGTGAGCTAATTAAATATCTAATTGTGTAGTAGTTGTAGGTTAAATAAGGCTGTGAACCATTTTTTATTAAAATTGAGCTAATGATTTTGTGTGTAACTCTCCTCATGATCTCTTTAATGATTTGTAGAGAAAACAGCGGAGGATTTGCGTGAAGTAGAGGGAAGTGTAACTTTGCAAGCGTCACTACAGCGCTTGTCTCGTATGCATGAAGAATCAGCGGGACGTTTGCAAGAGAAAGGTTTGAACGCAGAAGTGGTTGAGTCAAGATTGAGTGGTGATACAGATCTAGCTGTAGGGAATAGAAGCCTTATTCAGCTCTATCGACATGAATGTGCGGAGGCTATCGTCGAGTCACCTCATAGCATAGGATTAAATGGTGATGATGGCAGTGTTGATAATGATAATGGTTATGCTGATGGAAATGATGAATTTTATGATGCAAGTGCCGATTTCAGTGATTCATTATCATATCGCTCATCCGAAATGGTGTCAACTACTGTTCTGTCAAACGGTAACAATATTAATTGAAATTTAACTGAAATGGAGTCTTACATACATATCACCTTAAAGTCAGAAAATAGTAATCAACTAATTTTTTAATGAGGTTGAGAGGGCAGATATTGAGCATTGTCATCAGTTGCGTTTGTTATGAGCAACTCTTAAAATTTTGATTGTAATGACCTCTTTGATGACATTACTGATGCTGTGCCTGTGAATACTGTGAAATTTTTTCTTTTCTCTTTCACTTACCTCTGGAACTAACTGCTCATTTCTTGGGAGTACATGACTTAAACTTAAACTGAGTAAATGTCCTCTATTATTTATCTGCTTCGTAAGTTTTTAAAGTAGCAACGAATGAGTTTCATGGTCACTTTTAGTGTACTTGAGTTGTGTAAGGTTGCAAATAGTGTTTGGTATTGGACGGTTCAATAGTAGTCTTTTGTCTAAATTGGGGACTTAGAGATTATGCTTTGTTTTTTAAGATTTCATATCCAAGTGTTGCCTTAGCTTTCTACTCATTAGAGATAAGCTTTGAGTATTCATTAACCATACCGTTAAATAACAATTGCAATAGTTGCAAAATTTAAAGATTAGCGTTTGCACTCAACAACTGATATTGCTTCAAAAAATTGGTAGATTTTTTACAATTCTTTTTCATCATTACGCTTTTCACCATTAATGTGATTGAAACTTAACAAATGCTAACGTTGCGCTTTCGGTTTTTAACTTTGATTTAGTGGCTTGGACAACTTCAGAAATGACCGCTTCCAAAGTTTGCCAATCAGGAATTTAGAGAATAGTTGTTACTTCATTTTTTACGGCAGGAAGTTATTTTCACATCACAGAAATATTATTGGTTAATTAAACTCCATAGGAAGTGAAAACTTCATTAAAAAATCGAAACTAACTCAAGTCATTTATTGAAAAAACCTTTTGTGGTCAACTAGGGCATTTAATATTCGCAAACTTCCGTTGTTACAACCGTAGTGAGCATTTTATAATTAATTCATTGAGCACTAATACTGTCATAGCGATTTTTGTGCATCAAAGAAGAAAGTACTGTGTAGGTCGCGCATGCTTATTATATTTATCTAATATATTGTCTTGCCATATGCGATAGTTGACAGTTTCTCACTTAATTCCAAACCTTTCTCATTTGTATACTCAAATTTTCAGACTCATGTGCTAGAACAGTCGAGAATCAGTCGTTTACTGGTAGAAGTAAATGCAGTGGACCACCAGCACTCGTAAATTTTTGATTGCTCTGACAGAAAAATTTAAAAACTCCTAATTTCTTATGAAATTTTGTTTCAAAATTTTTCCAAAAAATTATGGATATCTATTTTAGATAAAATTTTGAGCTACTGTTAGTTGCGAGCTAATATTTCAATTTCGTTATTTTAATCAGCTGTTAGAAGTTATAAATTGCACATCTGTTACTATCTCGGAAATTGTTGTAGTGAGGGGTACTTAAGTTTCTTGTTATTTCAGACTTACAAATCCTTTGATCCATCAGCCGGGAATGGTTCAGGTTTTGAAGGGCGACGTGGTAAACAAGCGAATACCTCGCGCGTATCCCCGGTGGTCATGCAAAATGTGGTACCATCTTATATAACTATTTTCAATCTATAAATTTCAAGGAAAATATGGTACTATTGTTTAGATTTGCATTTACATTTCATTAGTAAATTAGATGATCTGATATATTTCGTATTTATAATCTACATATTGGCATTTGTTATTTATAAAATACATCTGACCTTTTGAGTGAGTTTTTTTAAAACTTGTCTGCTAGAATTTTCTGTGTAAATTCCAAATATTACGATCTGTTTTTAGAAATAAATATTCAAAAAGTTGGCAACTTTTTGGCGTAGATTTTAATTGAAAATTGTGATGAGGAATAAAATAAAACTTATTAGCGAAGAGCATAATATGCATGTGCAGTTACTTGTATTTTTTGTTTTTCATCAATAAATTGAAAAGCATAATTTTTCAAATACTAGATAGAAAAAATTTCTGGGTCTAGGATAAAATTCTGTAGCTATAATTATTTAGCAGTTTATCCTTTCCAGACTTTACAGGAACCAAATCGGTCAGGGATTTCAGTATCATCGTTTATAGTTGAAAAACGGCATTTGTTAACTCCGGTACCTGATTTGAATGATATCACATGTATTGTGGAACGACAAGAAGCAGGTTGTTCACTTTTTGGTGTCTTAATTTAATTTTGAATCACTTTTAGAGTTTTGTTACACAAAGCTAAAATCATAATGACAGACAGGATTTTTCAGAATTAAGAGAGGAAATGAGCAGAATGAAAAGTAGTGTACAAAACGATAGACGGAACGACGTAGCTAATATAACACGTTCGTCACAAGTCCGTAAGTTTTTTAATCTTGTTTTTTATGGAAATTATAACGAACTAAACATAATAGTTTCTTGAACATAAGAACTCACGTGTTTCAATTAATATTGAAAAAACGATAAAAATGCTTTTTAGTAAATTTACTTCACTGAATGCTTAGTTTAAACCTTCTGTAGCTCTATATGATTTAATGTTTTTCTTAAGTTGCAAAAATAAATTACTTATGTATTTTATAGATAAATCTCATGTTCAGCTCACGAAGTCAACTACATCAACCTTAGCATCATCAAGATCTGTTGAATTTAGTGCTAAGTCTACTCCTACTGCACCATCTATTAGTCGCATTTCCGTAAGTTTTGACTAAAGTCGCTTATAAAAGGAACAAAGTACAATTATTAATTAAAATTTCATATTTCTTGTTTTTGTTGAGTTCTATATTATCTTAGCAATTGCCAACTCCTGTCCGGAAGCCGATGGGTCGTTCCTTGATTCCCGTGCTGCGTAATCCTGTGCTTACTCGATCGTATGTTTTAGCTATTATATATATATATTTTATTTATTTTTTCTCAATAGAAGCGAGTTACTCGATATTTTGATAATTTTATTATTGCTAGTTTTGTAAAATTATGTAGTTATATGGAGCTTAGACTCATATAATAATTTAACGCTTTATAAAAATTTATTAATCTTAGAAAATTGAGAGCCATTCGTAATTTGGCTGGCGGTAGTACTCCATCATTAGTAGCTCGTTCTCAACAGAGATCAGCTGAGGAAACTCGTTCAGAATGTGGAGCTATAACAGGGAACAGCAATAGATGGGCTGATGAGTGTTTCTAATATATTCAATTGGATAAGAAAAAACGAAAACTTGTGTAAATTGCTTGCTAACTTATTTTTAACTATACTGCTTATGGAATGCATTAAATTCGTTTTGCAAGTGAAGAAAGTGTACTTGTTCATATCACCATTATGTATTTTCTTTCCCAAATTCAGATCTTCATTTTCTTATTGCTATCCAAAGTTTATAATTGATTACGAAATTCTTTTTCTGTAATAGGCTTTTTTTACTGAAATCATTACTATGAATGACATTGATTTTTTTTTTT